TTTCCATGGCAGTAACAATAATGACAACCCCTGACAGTGTGGTTGAGAGCATTCAATGACACAATGCAATCCCAGAGCCTGGGATAAATACACAGAGATAAACACATGGGGCATGTCTATGTCTTTGTGCCACTGGATATGATTATCCCTGTAAGACTGTCACTAGAAGATCCCAGAGGTCAGAGATTTTGTTTATTTTGTCAGTAACTGGCTTAACTACCCAGCCTCCTAAACCCACAAATAAAGGTATACTAATTTTCAGCATATACAATATAAAAATATTGTAGAGTTGACCCTTGAACAGTGTAAGGGTTAGGGGAATTGACACTTCCCCAACAGTCGAAAATTTGCGTATAATTTTTTTATTTTTATCCTCACCTGAGGACATTTTTCCATTTTTTGTTCAGGTAGAGTGGGAGGAGAGAGAGGAAGAGAGAGAGGGAGAGAGAAATATCGACGTGAAAGGGACACATAAAGTGGCTGCCTCCCACATGACCAACCAGGTATGCGCCCTTAGCGGGAACTGAACCCGGGTCTCTCTGGACCGCAGGCCGACGCTCTAATCCTGAGCCAAACCGGCGAGGGTTTGCATATAATTTTTGAATTCCCAAAAAGTTTAATAATAGCCTACTGATGACTGGAAACCTTACTGATAACATAAACAGTTGATGAACATAATAATTTTGTGTTTTATATGTATTATATACTGTATGCTTACAATAAAGTAAGCTAGAGAAAAGAAAATGTTAAGAAAATCAAAGGAAGAAAAAGTACATTTATAGTACTGTACATGCTTATTGAAAAAAAATCTGTATATAAATGGACCTACACAATTCAAACTGTGTTGTTCAAGGGTCAACTGTACTCACACAAGATTACTTGGAGAATAAATGTCTATTTAAAAATAATTATATGGCCTTGGCAGGTTTGGCTCAGCAGTTAGAGCACTGGCCTGCAGACCTACGGTTGCAGGTTGAGCCCTGACCCCGGTAGGGGTTGTGCAGGAGGCAACCAACCTATGTGTCTCTATTACATAGGTATTGCTCTCTCTCTCTCTCCCTTCCCCTCTTCCACTCTCTCTAAAAAACAACCAAACGAACAACAACAACAACAAAAAAGGAAAAATATTCTCTGGTGAGGAGTAACCAAATAAAAAAGTTACATGGGGCCCTGGCTGGGTAAAGTGTCATCCCCATAAACCAAGGTGTGTCATCCCTGATACACCAAGGATGCAGGTTCAATCCCTGGTCAGGGTGCACACAGGAGCCAACCAATGAATGCATAAAAAAGTGAAACAACAAATCAATACTTTTTTTTTTTTAATTAAAAAGTTATATGGGGACTCCTTTATCACACTTCCCTAGAGTACTAAAAACATTTGTTTTGCAAATTTGTTTTGCCCCAGGCGGGCACTTACTCAAACCAAATTGAATATTAGTGGTTTCACAGCTATTAATTGTGTCTAATGCACAGTAAATACTGAATGAATGATTCAAGTTTGGTTCTAGAGTAATTTTATATACAACTTTCTTCCAATATTAAAAAAAAATGTTTTTCTTTATTGATTTTAGAGAGAGGAAGGGAAAGGGAGAGAGAGAGAGAAACATCGATGAGACAGAATATTGACTGGCCACCTCCCTGCATGCCCCCCATGGGGGATCGGGCCCACAACCTGGGCATATGCCCTGACCAGGAATCGAACCAGCGACCTCTTGGTGCATGGGTTGATGCTCAGCCACTGAGTCACAGTGGCCGGGCTCTTCCAAAATTTTTTTTGAAAATAAAAATGTCTTGCCTGGCCGATGTGGCTCAATGAACTGAGTGTCATCCCACGGACTGACAGGTCCAGGTTCAATTCCCGACAAGGCAAATGCCAGGGTTGTGGGCTCGATCTCTGGAGAGGGGGGGCATGTAGGAGGCGGCCAATATATGTCTCTCTCTCACATCGATGTTTCTATTTCTCTCTAAAAAATCAATAAAAACATATATTTTTTAAAATGTCTGAACTCTTCTGCTAACAGTAATAGTTGTAGTCAGTACTTGAAAGTGGCACTAAATTTATTCTCTGGGAATTAAACTTTACAAAATCATCACAAGCAAGAGAGTAGCTACCAAGCATGAATGCACACATGTAAGAGTACAGCAATTTATTTACATATATATATATTTTGTTGTTGTTGTTGTTGTTGTTGTTCAGATAGAATGGGAGGGAGAGAGAGAGAGAGAAACATCGAATGTAAAAGGGACACATCAGGTGGCCACCTCCCACACGACCCAACCAGGTCCAGGGACAAACTGCACCCAAGGTATGTGCCCTTAGCAGAAACCAAACCCAGGCCTCTCTGGACGACAGGCTGATGTTCTAACCGCTGCGCCAAACAGACCAGGGTTAGCAATATATTTTAAAATATGTGTATTGCCTGGCTGGTGTGGCTCAGTAGTTGAGCACTGACCCATGTACCAAGAGGTTGCTGGTTCCATTCCCAGTAAGGGCTCATGCTCAGGTTTTGGGGCTTAATCCCCAATAGGGGGTGTGCAGGAAGCAGCCAATCAATGGTTCTCTCTCACTGATGTTTCTCTCTCTCTCTCCCCCTCCTTAAAAATCAATGAAAAACTTTTTTTTTTATTTTTTATTTTATCCTCACCCGAGGACATTTTTCCATTTTTTGCACAGATAGAGTGAGAGGGAGAGAGAGGAAGAGAGAGAGAGAGGGAAACATCGATGTGAAAGGGACACATCGAGTGGCCGCCACCCGCACGACCAACCAGGGCCGGGGACAAACTGCAACCGAGGTACATGCCCTTAGCGGGAACCGAACCCGGATCTCTCCGGACCACAGGCGGATGCTCTAACCGCTGAGCCAAACCGGCCAGGGCAATGAAAAACTTTTTTTAATGTGTGTATTTATCCCTGGCTGGTGTGCTCAATTGGTTGGGCAGGCATTATCCCATGCTGGTTCAATTCCCGGTCAGAGCACATGTCTGGGTTGTGGGCTTGCTCCCTGGTAGGGGGCATACAGGAGACAACCAATGAATGTTTCACTCTCTTTCTCCCTCTCCCTTCCTCTCTCTCTAAAAAACCAATTTTAAAAAGCGTATTTATAGTTCACATAATATTAATATAACAACAGCAACACATTTAGTAAATAAGACATATAGTAAAATGCATGGTACAAAACAGCACTGTGCAAACCATACTATGTACATTATCTCATTTCACTTTCAATATTTCTAAATAAAGACTCTGTCAATCAAAGAGGAGATTATTCAACTATGAAAATACAGAAAACCATGCCAGAAGCAAACACTGCCATCCCAGACCATCCAGAAGAGAGGCATCAAGAATTTACAGCCCCACCCTGGCCAGTTTGGCTCAGCAGTTAGAGCGTCGGCCTGCAGTCCAGAGAGACCCGGGTTCGGTTCCCATTGAGGGCACATACCTCGGTTGCAGTTTGTCCCTGGCGCTGGTTGGGTCGTGCAGGAGGCAGCCACTTGATGTGTCCCTTTCACATTGATGTTTCTCTCTCTCTCTCTCCCTCCCACTCTATCTGAACAAAAAATGAAAAAATGTCCTCGGGTGAGGATAAAAAAAAAAAAAGAATTTACAGCCCCATTGGCAAAAGTTACCTTTGTTGAGAGGTGTGTGGGGGGGTGTGCAGTAGACCTAGATGGTCTGGTATATTCCATCCCAGATTCCCTAATTCCCCACACTCTGTAAGCAATCTTCTGATTATGATTCAGCTTCCATCAACCTTCTACAGAAGCTGTTCTGGTCATGTAGACTTTTAAATATTCTAGTCTCTGTGATAATTATTTATTATTATTATTATTATTTTTTATCCTCACCCAAGGACATTTTTTTTTTTTTTTTTATCCTCACCCGAGGACATTTTTCCATTTTTTGTTCAGATAGAGCAGGAGGGAGAGAGAGGAAGAGAGAGAGAGAGAGAAACATCGATGTGAAGGGACACATCGAGTGGCTGCCACCCACACGACCAACCAGGGCCGGGGACAAACTGCAACCAAGGTACGTGCCCTTAGCGGGAACCGAACCCGGGTCTCTCTGTACCGCAGGTCGACGCTGCAACCGCTGAGCCAAACTGGCCAGGGCCCAAGGACATTTTAACATTTATCTTCAGACAGAGCGGTAGGGAGAGAGGGAAGGAGAGAGAAACATCGATTGGTTGCCACCCACACGACCCCAACTGGGGCTGGGGAGGAATTGCAACCGAGGTACATGCCTTTGGCCAGAATCAAACCCGGGTCTCTTTGGTCTGTGGGCGACACTCTAACTGTTGAGCCAAACCAGCTAGGGCAATTTCTTACCCTTAGTGAATAAACTGACATTCCAATTTTATTTTCAATAATTAAAATACAAAATATTTTCAAAAATAGCAATGCTAAACTCTCAATGTAATATGATCTGTTATAGTTTTATGCGTGTGTTGAAATATACACAAAATTTATCATTTTATTTAAAAATTTTTTTATTAGTTTTTGTTACAGTTGTTTCTCATTTTTCCCCCATCGACACCCTGCCCCCCCATCCCCAGCTTTGTTGCCTGTGTTCATTGGTCATGCATACATGCAAGTTCTGTGATTTATCGCTTCCTCCACAAACCCCTCCTCCTCTGAGGCTTGTCAGTCTGTACCCCACCTCTATGTCTCTGGGTTAATTTTGTTCATCAGTCTTAGTTCATTATATTCCACAAATAAGTGAGATCATGTGATATTTGTCTTTCTCTGCTTGGCTTCTTTCACTTAGCATGATACTCTCCAGGTCCTTCCATGCCATCTCAAAAGATAAGAGATCTTTCTTGTAGCTGTATAGTATTCCACTGTGTACATGTACCACAACTTTTTAATCCACTCATCTACTGATGGACACTTGGGATGTTTCCAGATCTTAGCTATTGTAAATAGTGCTGCTATGAACATGGGGGTACATATATTCTTTCTGATTGGTTTTCAAAATGTACCATTTTAAACACTTTTTTTTTTCACTCAGACCCAAAGTAACTCAGCAGGTGAACTGCTGCTGACAAAAAATGTTACCATCATTATAAAACACTTTCATCATCATCATTATTATTATTATTAATTTTTTAGAGATAGAAACATCGATGTGAGAGAAACATTGATCGGCTGCCTCCTGCACAACCCCTACTGGGGATCAAGCCCAAAACCTGGACATGTGCCGGGACCGGAAATTGAACCGGGGCCTCTCAGTCCATGGGATGATGCTCAATCCACTGAGCCTGGCCAACTTAAACACTTTTAAGTGTATAGTTCAGTGGCATTACACACATTCACACTGTCTGCAACCATTACCTCTATCCATCTCCAAACTTTTTCATCAAAACTTTTTTTTTTTTTGGTACATGCCCCTAGCGGGAATCGAACCTGGGACTCTCTGGTCCGCAGGCCGACGCTCCAACCGCTGAGCCAAACTGGCCAGGGTTCATCAAAACTCTTTACACATTAAACAGTAACTTCCCTTGCCCTGGCTGGTTTGCCTCAGCGGTTAGAGCATCGGCCTATGGTCTAGAGAGACCCAGGTTCGGTTCCTGCTAAGGGCAGGTACTTCTGTTGCAGTTTGTCCCCGGCCCTGGTTGGGTTGTGCAGGAGGCAACCACTTGATGTGTCCCTTTCACGTCGATGTTTCTCCCTCTCTCTTCCTCTCTCTCCCTCCCACTCTATCTGAACAAAAAATGGAAAAATGTCCTCGGGTGAGGATTAAAAAAAAAACAGTAACTTCCAATTCCCCCCTCTCTTCCCAGGCCCTGGTGACCACCATTCTACTTTGTTTCTATGAATTTGTATTGTGGTGGTTTTAAAACATGTTTGCAAATTCCTTCAAACTCCTCCCATGAAGAAATGGAGGCTTCCCCTGACCAGTTGCTCAGTGGTTAGAGCATCAGCCCGTGAACTAAATAGTTGTAGGTTCGATTCCAGTCAAGGGCATGTAACTTGGCTGCCATTGGATCCCTGGCCATGGTCGAGGTTGTGCATGAGGCAACCAGCTGATGTGTCTCTCTCACATCAATGTTTCTCTCTCTTTCCCACTCTACCTAAAAATCAATGGAAAAATATCCTAGGGTGAGGATTAAAAAAAAATCACTAAGTAAGAAGTGGAGGCTATGGTCCCTCCCCTTGAAATCCTACACACCTTTGTGACTGCCTCAAAGAACAGAAATTAGCAGAAGTGATGCTACATGACTGCATTAGAAATTACCATGTGGTTTCTGCTAGGTGGTTACAGGACACACATTCTGGGAGCCTTCAGCTGCCATGTAAGAAGTCCAGCTATCCTGGGGACTGCATATGGTGAGACCATGCAGAGAGATGACAGAGACAGAGACAGACAGAAACCTATACAGTCCTAGCTTTCTGAGAGTTCCTAGCCCAGGCATCACACATGGACATGACAAAGCTCTGTTATAGGTTGAACTGCATCCCCCCAAAAGATATACAGAAGTCCTAATCCCTAGTACCTCAGAATGAACTGGAAATAGGGTTGTTACAAGATGAACCTTGAACACTGTGGACATTAGGAGCAATGACCTCCATGTAATTGAAAATCTACATATAGCCCTGGCCGGTTTGGCTCAGCGGTTAGAATGTCAGCCTGCGGTCCAGAGAGACCCGGGTTCGGTTCCCGCTAAGGGCATGTACTTCGGTTGCGGTTTGTCCTCGGCCCTAGTTGGGTCGTGCGGGTGGCAGCCACTCAATGTGTCCCTTTCACGTCAATGTTTCTCTCTCTGTCTCTCTCTCCCTCTCACTCTAACTGAACAAAAACAAAAAACAAAAAAAATGTCCTCAGGTGAAAATCTACATATAACTTACGTCAATCCCCTGCATATGTGGATTCCCAACATTGGATAGAAAATACTATTTCCAAGAAAAAAAAGAAAATACTATTTCTGCCCAGCTGGTGTGGCTCAGTGGTTGAGCATCAACCCATGCACCAAGAGGCTGCCAGTTCAATCCCCAGTCAGAGCACCTGCCTGGTTTGTGGGCCAATCCCCATTGAGGGGCATGCAGGAGGTGGCCAATCGATGTTTTCTCTTGTCAATGTTTCCATCTCTCTCTCCCTTCCTCTGTCTCTAACATCAATAAAGAAAAGGAAAGTTAAAAGAAAAGAAAATACTATTTCCGATCTATGGTTGACTAAACCTGTAGCATGAAAACTAGGGATACAAAGGGCCAACTGTATATTTATTGAAAAATAAATATATATAAATAAATATATGTAAATGGACTCAGGCAGTTCAAACACTTATTGTTCAAGGGTTAACTGTAATTAGTTAAGATGAGGTCGTAGAGGAGCATGATGGACCCTTAATCTGGTGTAACTGGTTATCTAATGAGGAAAAGAGAGACACACAAAGGAGAGGCCATGTGAAGACTGAGCCACAGAGTTAAGTAGGTACACACTGAGTGATACAGCTATGAGCCAGAGAATGCCAAGGATTGCTGGCTACTACCAGAAGCTAGGAAGAAGCAAGGAAGGATTCTTGATTAGAGGCATTGAAGAAAGCATGGCCCTGCTGACACTTTGATTTTAGACTTTTGGCCTCCAGAACTGTGAGAAAATGTTGTTTTAGGCCTCCCAATTTATGGTATTTTGTTATGGCAGCCTTGGAGAGTAATACACCCTCCTTCAAAACAGTCTGAGCCCCAACCACCATCTGACTTTAATCATTAATCTCATGAAGACCCTTAGCAAAACTGCCTAGCTAAGCCCAGTCAACCCCCAGACTTATAAACAAAATAAACAATTGTTACTGTTTTAAGCTGCTGTTCTGAAATGATCTGTTACACAATAATGGATTATCAAAATGTCTACCCTCTGCTATTATTTTTTTAAAATGTGTTTTTATTGATTTTAGAGAGAGAGGAAAGGAGAGGGAGAGAGAGATAGAAACATCAATGAGAGAAACATCAACATCCATTGGCTGCCTCCTGCACAACCCTCTTGCTGGGGATGGAGCCCGCAACCCAACCATGTGCCCTGATCGGGAATAGTACTGGGAATCTAACCAGCAACCTCTTGGTGCATGGTTCCATGGCTCAACCACTGAGCCACACCAGTGGGGCTGTTCTCTGCTATTAATATCAGCAACATTAACCAGTGTGTTATTTACTTCACCTATACTACCAGCGCTTCCTCGAACAATATTTTCTTGACACCAGGAAGGAAGCCTTTCAGTAATCAGTCATGGGCTGATCTATACTGAATTCTTTTTTTTTTTTTTTATCCTCACCCGAGGACATTTTTCCATTTTTTGTTCAGGTAGAGTGGGAGGGAGAGAGAGGAACAGAGAGAGAGAGAGAAACATCGATGCGAAAGGAACACATCGAGTGGCTGCCATCCACACAACCGACCAGGGCCGGGGACAAACTGCAACCGAGGTACGCGCCCTTAGCGGAAACCGAACCCGGGTCTCTCAGGACCGCAGGCCGACGCTCTAACCGCTGAGCCAAACCGGCCAGGGCTATACTGAATTCTTAATATCTTCTACCTCATTCACTTGGCATGACTGTCTTTATAGTTATAGACTGTTTTCTTCTAATCACATTGTAACCAATCCAGAGGGGGGGCTTATTAATTTCCAACAGATTATGATTATCAATGTTAGATGAGTATCTCCCAGAAAAACCCAAGCTCGAATTTAGTGTCTTTTGAGTAGAAAGGCAGAATACAAAGTTATATATACATTATGATTATAATTCTCTTGGGAAAAATACATAAATAAGCTAAAAAACTGGAAGGAAAACACCATTATTTGAATGGTAGAGATATAACAGCTACATTTACTAAGCTCTTACTTAGAGCCAGGTCCTGTGCCAATCATTTTACAAACCTAATGATGATTCTTACAATTATCCTATAAGGAAGATACTATGATCTCCACTTTACAAATGAGGAAACAGGTTCTAAGAGAAATTAAGGATAAGGTGACAGAGTTAGAAAGTGGCAAACCCAATACCTGGGAATACATAAATCTCAGAGCCTGAAAATCTGATCCTGGCATGAAGGTTCCTCTGGTGATACTTTTCCTGACGGTCCTGAAGGAGCAATTGTGTGGACACCTCAGGGAGAAATGAGACCACGTACCTAGGTGCAGCTGAACATCCTTCACCTCCAGGGTGCTGGACTTGCGATGCCGAGCAAGCTGGCAAGCTGCTGTCACCACACTCTCGATAAAATCATCAGCAATCTGCAGCAGCATCTGGGGAAGACAAAAGTGGGGGAGAGTAACCATGTCATAGGCAGGGTAGGGCCCTGTTGCTGGGACAATTGTATCTGCCTGAACCACATATTTAGTCAGGCTTCCTATTAGAAGGCCTATGATCAGCATTTGGTCTAAGGTGGGAGAAAGAGTGAAGATGGCAATAGAAACACATTAACTCATTAACCAGGTGGAGTGCACCTCATACCTTTCTGAGGATGAGCTTTCTGCTCTTTCTACCCAGCAGGCACCAACCAGACCAATCCCTCACCCCCCATATTGTCTTCTGAATTAGGTGGGAAAACAAAAGTGAGTCATTATAATTCCTCACTCATAATCTTTCTTTCTATAAATATGTTTTTATTGATTTTCGAGAGGAAGGAAGAGGGAGAGAGAAACATTGATTTGAGAGAAAAACATTGATTGGCTACCTCCTGCACACCCCCTACCAGGGATCAAGACCACAACCCAGTTATGTGCCCTGACTGGGAATCGAACCAGCAGCCTTTCGGTGCATAGGACGACACCTCTGTGAGCAACATAGGCTGTACACAAATTTAAAAATAGAAAGGATGCCCTGGCCAGTTTGGCTCAGCAGTTAGAGTGTCCGCCTGCAGACCAATGAGTCGCAGGTTTGATTCTGATCAGGGCACGTACCTCAGTTTCAGTTTGTCCCCAGACCTGGGTGGGGTCATGGAGAAGCTACCAGTCGATGTGTCTCTCTCACGTAAATGTTTTTCTCTCTCTCTATCCCTCTCTCCCACTCTATCTGAAGATAAATAAAAAATATCCTCAGCCCTGGCCGGTTTGGCTCAGCGGTTAGAGCGTTG